TACAAGAGAGAAGGAGAGTAGAGCCCAGATGAATCCATAGGCCTGAACAGAATGGGTGGGGGGGAGCAGGGGGAACCTGCTTGGTGGGCTTCACTACAGACAGGGAGGARGAAGAGCAAGGGGGTCAGGGCAGAGGCACCCCGGAGACACAGTGCAGGGTGGGCAGGGAGGATCACAAGTTCAAATCCAGCCTCAGCAACTCAGCATGGCCTTAAGCAACTTGGCAAGACTCTGTCTCAGAAAATAAAGGGGCTGTGGATGTGGCTCAGTGACAAAGTGCCCCYGGGTTCAATCCCTGCTACCAAAAAAATAAAAGAAACAGTGTGACTGTCCTGGTCACAGGAGACTCTTGCAGCGTGGAGACTGTTCCAGATGAGCAGATGTGATGCACGATTGGACATGGAGTCAGCACCTGCCCCCTGCAGCTAGAGGGGCTCCTGCCCTCACCACCAGCTCCCCTTGCAAAGCCCAACCAGCTACTGACGTAGCACGTCTGAATTTTAAGAAAAGCGTCAATTGCCCAACCTTGCGTCTAGCTGTCTCCGAGGAACAGCCTTTTCTCTTCTGGAAACTTGGTCAGCCTTCTAGTCTTGTCAAGTCGCCTGACAGAGGTGGGGATTGACTATAAAGATGGATGATTTCAAGAAAAAGACTCTAATGCACTTCCTTCTGCCCCGGTGAGAGGTCCATCTGGTTGACCCTCTGCCTTTAGCTAAGGRAAGTAAAATGTGAAATTGCCAGCTGTCCCCTCGGGGTGGGCAAGGCTGGGCCATGCTGTCACTGCGGCCTGCTGTCCCCCGCCGCCCTCCCGTGTCCACAGCTCCCCCGCTGCACCTTCCACCATGGAGCTGCATTATTCACTGTGAGATTGTCACCCTCACCCCTGCTGGGTGCTGCTCCTTCTGTCCCTGCAGCTGTGTGACACGGTCGTCTCACCACATGAGACGGACATGTCACGAATGTGCACTCGGAGCATCTGAGGGTCCTGTGCTKCAGGGATGCAGGTGCAGAGTTGAGGCTGATGAAGTTAACAGCTTGGTGCGTTAGGCAGTRGGCGGAGGACAGTGGGCAGTCTGGACCCTTTACCTTCTTTATGAGGGGTGGGGATTTAGTGCACTTTGGGTAGTTCCTGAGTTTTAGGTCAAGGACTGCTGCACGGTATCTTGTGATCATGTCGATAAACGGTAAAGCGCTCTCTGCTGGCTCTGTGATTTCTGAGTCACCACGTACTCTCAAGCTTGCTTGTGTCAAACCCTCAYGATGGCCCCCCCTCTGGGGCCTCCCCACCCCACCCTTCGCCCCTGCAGCCTTCATTTTCTCACTTTTAAGATCATCTGTCTCTACCTGACAGTCTTAAGTGGAATTAGTTCTTCTCATCTTAGAGATGACATGATAAAGGGAAGTTCAGGACAGAGGTGACGCTGGGGACAAGAGAGGTGGGTCACACGGGAGAGTCCCCGGGCCCATGCCAGCCGTAAATGCCTGGGCTCTGCGGGATGGGGCTGTGGAGGAAAGAGCCTCTTGGTCAGCACACGGGACGCTGTGGTCTGCTTCATTACGTGACTCTGTGCTTCTTCCTCTTCAGATGCACAACCACAACCCCAGCATCTAGCTGCAGTCRCAAATTATAAGACAGCAGCGTTCTCTAAAGATCATTTTTTCCTTTAGAACAAACAACTTAGGGAAATGCCTGGTTTGTTGTTAGTGCCTTGTTYGTTTCCTTTCTGCCTGAGTTAAAGTAAGTGTGAGCAACAGCGACGTCAGGGGACGGGTTTCGCTGTGGTTTTAAGATCCTGGCTGCTGAGGCAGTTAATGCACCTGGGCTGGTGTTTACCTTGGGTTGTCTGCATCCATCAGTTGCTTTTCCTCCAGACACTCCAGCCAGGAGCTGCATCTGGTGGAGACCTTCACCCGTTCCTTCATCAGTGCAGCACTCGGTCCCYGTGTACCATGGTGCCAAGCTTCACCGCATGGGACCTTGAACACTGGTGCTGCGGCCTGTTTGRAGCGGCACTGTCGGTTCACTGTTCTGTAACGTGCTGGACCCAGCTGCTCTATCACTAACCCAGAGACACGTCTCGGCTACTGTCTCCTCGTGGGCCCCAGCTGACCTCCTGGGTCTGGTACAGCAGCGCCCTGCTCCTCTTAGAGATGGGAGCCAGGCTCCCATCATGCTGGGYGCAGACCTCCACACAGAGGTGACCAGAGGCCTGCACACGGCCCTCAGGCCTGCCCAGCTGGCCCTGGACACTTGCTGTCCTCCAACTGAAGCACGGGTCATCTTGGGGACTGGGTTGTCTGTTCTCCGTTGTCAGCCCTGTGTGCGTCCTTCAGTCTGCTCCCGGCCCGCTTCATCAGGAGCTCTTCCTGACCTTCCAGGACCCCTCCTCCTGCTTCTCCCAACGGATTTATCTGTTTGTTGTTTATCTTCCCAAGAAAGTCATGTGACTCGGGTTGACAACAGAGTCATTATCTGTTTTATTCACTTATGTATCAAAGGTTCACAGAACAGGGCCTGGGAGAGCAAGCCCTAGACAGATGTGTAACGGACAGTTGATTGGACAGATGCATGATGGAGGTGGATAAGCAAATGTGGATGGAGGGGCGGGTGGACGGGTGGGTGGATGCAAGATTTGTTGTTCTTTGCACAACGGGTTAAGCATAAATATGCTTTTTAATTTTTCTGGACCTCCAATGCATACRTGGTGCCAAAAAGAAGAGGAGATGTGCCGTGGACTCCTTTCCACCCCTGTACAGKCCGAGAAGTGACTCGCGTAATTCCCCTGAAAACCGCGCCCCAGAACTCGGTGTGTCGGGGAATAATTTATCAACTCATTTTGTCCTCATGGGAAGGAGGGTAAGCTCTACTCACCTTTTTGGGAGTTCAACTCTATAAATTAAGGTGAGGACGGAATTTTGAGGCACAGATTAGATGTTCAGAAAAGTGTGAACCTGAACTCTAACTGCAAGAGCACACTGTGTTCTGGTCACACCCGTGTAGACATTGAATGTGCACATAGACCCCGGGGTAGAAAGAGCATGGAGAAGCTGAAGGCTGTCCACCACCTTTTCTCTCCATYGTCATTGGCACAGAGTCGTTTGTATGGTAAAGAAAATGACCTGCACTCTGAAAGTAAAATTTGCCCAATGTAAGAGGAATTTAGTGAGAATGTCTTCATCCCCGTGGGTGAAATAGCCTACTAAAAAAACGCAGGGAAACTGCCTGCAAGAGCATCTAGTGCATCTGTGCTCAGGAGCCCAGCGGCGCAGTGACCCAGCACCCCTCGGTCCCTGCCTGCCGACCTCACGGTGTGTCTTGCTGAAAGGCTCTCGGTGCAGAACCTCTTCCTGGTCCAGTGAGAGGCAGGAAGCAGGCTCTCTGTCCTTGTTCGGGAAGTGTCTGACTCTTACCCTTCCACCACCAGCACCGACTTCCGAGGTGTGTGTCTGTCTCTGCCCTCGGAGTGTCTGCAGGACTCAGCCCTGGGAGCCTGTTGAGCTCAGGCCCTGCACTTCGCCCTGCAGGACTGCCCTCCGGGATCCTGGGAGAGCTCCATCCACCCTGTCTGGTTCCTCCGGAAGCAGACCCTCCTGTTGTTAGGTGGTGTTAATGGTCTGATGTTCTCTTCTGCCTCTGAGAACTTTCCTTTCAGTTCTTACTCTGCCTTCCCTTCGGAGGCTACACAGAATAGTCTTCCTCCTCTTTGTCTTCAGTAGTCCGTGTCTTGGGTTTCCGCGGGCCTTCAGTGCATGGTGACCTCTAGTCTTAGTGTTCGAGACTGAACCTTTCCTTCAGTCTCTTCATGTGACGTATTCTGCAAATATCATTGTCTCCTGTCCTCTTTCTAGCCCCACTCTGTGTATTCTCGCCTGTGACAATTCTGACATTGACCTGTGTATCATATTATGGGGGTGTCTGGGCAGAAGCAGGCCCATGATTGAGTGAGGATCACCTTTATTTTGACTGGTGTGGTTTAAGATATTCTGATGAGCTTCCAGTCACAAATGAAGATATATTTAAGCATGGCATCGTCTACTCTTGGAGACTGTCTCCATCCCACCGCCTCTTGGCTTGGTTATTGTGAGTTGTAATTATGGGTACGATCAGGGAAGTACTCTCAGATCTAAACACAGGCACAAGTGCCATTTGCAATGTGGTTCTTTGTCCTGACGTTCCTGTATAATTCGCTCTTTTACAATTAATTATTAATATGTAACTATCACGCCCTTATTATTGATTACCAATATAGCTATCGTTATTGATTCCTAATGATGCTCCCCTGCCTCTCAAGACTCCTATTTGGAACTCTGAATTCATGACCACTCACACTGAGGGTGAAGCCAGCTCTGATCCTGGTGGAGGTCCGAGGTCTGCTCACCCTTTGGTGCCTTTGGCCACGTCTCAGATTCCTCCTCTCCTGCCCTCRGTCCCTGCTGCAGTGCTCGTGTGGGTCCACGGGGAGGACTGCAGACTGGAGAGGGCACAGGTGGGCCACCAGGGAGTCAAGTCCAGGGGATCTGAGGCCTGTGTGAGGTGACAGAAGAAAAGGCTGACGGGAATGAGAAATGGGCAGATGTTGATGAAAATCAGCATCGAGTATGTGTCAGCTAAATATTTAAGGTTCACAGAAGTTCATGGCACAGATGGAAAGAAAGGGGAAGAGCAGAGAAGGCTTGGAGCTGGAAAGCTGCGTCCCAGGGTTGAGTCGGACTTGGAGGTGGACCGGCTGGTGGTAGTGCACCGACCTGCAGTCCTTAGCTGGGGCTTCACAGCAGCTTGACCTGGATCACACCAGATTCTTGTTGAGACCAAGTGTCGCCCTGGCGAGAGGAGGGACAGCCCTGGTCTCTTCTGCCACCGCAGACAGAGAGGCCGGCCCAGAGCTGGAGCGGCCCGCGGGCGGGAAGCTGCGTCCTGCGGTGGCCTCTGGTTGTGGGCTTCGGGGAGAGGCACTTCCCATTCTKCTCGCTGAATCCTTCTCCTTCTGCGGTTGTTTCAGGAGCTGGTGGGGAGCAACCCTCCTCAGAGGAACTGGAAAGGCATCGCCATCGCTCTGCTGGTCATTCTGGTCATCTGCTCCCTGATCGTCACCTCGGTCATCCTGCTGACACCAGGTACCTGATCTCCCTCTCAGCACAGGTCACCGGCCAGGGCCGGGAGCGAGGCTTTACCCCGCGGTGCTCTCTACGCGACGACCCATCCTGTCGCATGGAGAGTCCCCCAGATTCTGACCGTGCCGAGTGATACTAYGGTGCGGTGACAACGATCCGTGTTGTATGCTTTTAATCTGTCTCCACAGTTGACTGGGTAGCGATGTGGGGCATAAATGTAAATGCACAATTGCGTATTCACTTTTGATGAACCTAAAGACAGTGGCACTAGAAATACAATGATTTTATGTGTGTCTTGTAATTCCTCTGTACTGTATCAAGGATGAATTTTAAAAATTGCTAAAGCAACAKAGACTGAGTGTGAATTAAGGGCAAAGTACTTATTAGGTGCCACTGACGAGGTAAAAGCCCCAGTCAGAAATCTCTCTGGGAAAAGACACTGAAATTCGCAGCCCCCGTGTCCCCCCATGCTCCACCCAATGGTCCCAGCAGAGGCCCTGCAGGTGCTCGGGACAGAGGTCCTCAGGAGAAGCTTCATGGAGAAGGCAGGACAGGAGGTGGGCCTCATGGGGTGTCCAGAGCTAGTAACCAGAGGTGTGGCCGTCCCTAGAGTAGCCTTCATCTCTGAGATCACCACGCAGGAGCTGTCACAGGAAAACCCATGGTCACAGGTGAACGTGAGTCTGCCTTCTCCACTCTCAGTCATCATGGCTGCCTGTGTGGAGCAAAAGGCGGAAGCCCCAGTCCTCCATAAACAGACCACACAGATGTCAGACTTCGAGATAGAAAAAGAAGTAGACTCTGCAGCGTGAGGAAGATTTTTGATGGATACAAAACACGTAGGCAAATTAGGATGCATTCATATTGCCTATGATACAACCATCAGCCTTGAATTTAAATGAGGAAAGACCACCGGCCTGCTGGCACCAGATCACAAGCAAAGGAAACCAGTGACCAGTGTCCTTAGGAGGACAGATAGGAAAATCCTTGCCAAAAGAGCAGTGGACAGAACCCAGCAACTCAGAGGAAAGGTCAGGCACCACCACCAAATGGGATCCATCCCAGGAAAGAAAATTTGGGTCAGCACGTGAAAATCAGTCAATGTGAATGATACCGTAGGACAGAAGAGAGGACAGGACAGACTCGGCCATCCCCACAGACATGGGAGGAACATGGTGAGACGCTCAAGAGTGAGGAAGAAGCAGTCTCACCCTGAAAACCACATCCRTGGGCCCAGGGGTCCTGAAGGTCCTAAATCTGAAACCGGTGCCCCTAGGCCAGGAACCAGACGGCAGTGTTCCCTGCCTGACCCGTTTCCCGTTCCACTGCAGCTTCCAGCCAGGGCAGACAGGGGAGAGGGCAGAAGACAGGCACCCAGACAGGAGAGAGAGGTGCAGAACCCCATTCACAGARGACCTGGACTGTACCTAGGGAAACCGAGGAATCCACCAATCGTCATGCTCCTTGTAACTAGCAAACGAGTCCAGCAGGATGGACGCAGAAGACCAGTGCACCAAATCACTGTAGCTCTGTGCACTCACCATGGCAGTCCACAAGGAAATCTCAAACACATTCCACTTGTAATAGTTTCAAAAAGAACAAGAAGAGGAATGGTATGTTCATTTGTTAGGAATGAGACTTGTATAGAGAAAATACCCAAACTGTGAAAAACTGAGAACCCGGGGAGGTCAAGGGGAGGCTGAGGGTCGGGGAGGCAGGAGTGAAGCTGACCAAGCTGTCCTCTGTCCACATGTGGATACCCACAGGGAACTTCACCTGTACACTTACCTGTGAATCAGTAATTTAAAAAAAAAAATAAATAGAAGAAAAACCAGTCCAGTAATGGGAAGAGGGGAGGGAAAGAGTAAGTACTGAATTGGAGCAAATTATATTCCATGCTTCTATGGTTGTGCGAAGACGAACCCCAATTTTATGTATAACTAAAATGTACTAATAAAAATACATTAAAGGAATTGAACAAAAGACTTGAGTAAATGGAGGGCATCCCTTGTAAATGGATTGAAAGATGTAACATTGTTAATATGGCCATATTCCCTAAATTGATCTGCAGGCTCATTTCAATCCCAACTGCCTTTATTAAAGAAATCGCTAATTGATTATAAAAGTCTTACAAAAATGCATGGGAATCAGAATAACCAAAAAAAGTTTTAAAAGAATAATTAGAAGACTTGATCTCCCGATTTTAAAACTTACTATAAAGTTACAATGATTAATAAATATGTCATGCCAGCATCTGAACAGATATAGAGACCCATGGACTAGAATTGAGAATTCTTAAATAGTTCCACACATCCACAGTCAGCTGATTTTTGGTAAAGGTTCCAAGGCCATGCAAGGGGACAGAATAGTATTCCACAAATTGTGCTGACACAACCAAATTTTCACACACAAAAGAGTAAAGTTGAACACTAACCTCATACCATGCAGATCTGATACCTAAATATAAAAGCTAAAAATCGATAAATTTCTAAAGGTAAAACATAGCAATAAGTATCTGTGACCTTATACTAGGCAATAGTTTCTGATTGTACCCAAAGTGCAAGCAACCAAAGAACAAATAGATAAATTAGATTTTGTCATACTGAGCTTTTAGTGTGTCAAAGGACATCATCAAGCAAGTGGAAAGACCCTCACAGAATGTGACAAAATATTTACAACCAGCAAAAGTTGTATCTGGAACATATAAAGAAATCATAACTTAAAACAGAAATGCAATTATATAATCCCACTTAAATTCAGGCAAAGTGTTGATAAGTTATAAAATGTAAGTCTCTCCAAAGAAAGGCAAGTGGCCAATGAGTACTTGAGAAGATTCTCAGCGCCATTGAACATCGGGGAAATGACGATCAAGCCACAGTGGAATATCACCTCGCCAACRTGGATATAAAGACAAAAAGCAAAGAACAAAGAGGAAAATAATAAGAGTTGACGAGGATACGGAGAAACTGGGACCTTTGTACATTACTGGTGGGAATAGAGATGGTGGGAAATAGTTTGGAATTAAATTACCATATCATGCAGTGTTTCTACTTCTAGATAAATACCAAGAAAATCAGAAACGTATTTATACAGAAGCTTGTGTGTGAGGCTCCTAACAGCGTGATTCATGGTTGTCCTAAAGTGGAAACAACCCAAATGTCCATCACCTGGCAGATGAACAAGCAGGCGTGGCCCGTTGTACACGGGACCCTTCCTCAGCCTGGAGAAGAACAGAGGGCCGCACGCTGGGCTAAGTGAAAGACTGYGGGTCCCAAAGGCCCCACGGTGGATGATTTCATCGCCGCCAAATGCACAGAGAAACAAGGAAGAAGGGCAGCTTCCAGGGCCTGGGGAAAAGTGCCGTGGAACATGAAATGTCCTTTCTAGGTGATGAAATATTGTGGAACTCAATAGTGGTCATGGACGCACATTTGCTGGTATTTAAAAAAAAATGAATTGCACATGGTAAAAGGGCAAAATTTCTGATATGTAAATTTTATCTCAATTAAGCTTTTAGTTTAAAAAATGATGGGAAAGTTGTAAAAAAAAAAAAAAAGAAAGAGGAGCAATCTGGGCATTTATATATGAAAGAAGTGTCGTAAAAACCTGCCTAACACCGAGAGGTTCCAGCAGCAGTTCTGCAAAACTGAGCATCATGTTGTCCTTTGCGAGTGAGCCCCCGAATACGCCAGCGACATCTGGGACGTGGGGACTTGGGACGCCACACCATGAACAGGAGAAAATGGGCTCAGAGGTTGGGATCTAAACGGGAGGAATTGGGGGAGGATTCCTCTCACAGATACCTGTTGGGGTTTGTGGTTGTGCTGCTGCTGATGGAACCCAGCAGGGGACTTTGACAACCGCATATTTAAATCACTGTGAAGGAGATTCAGCTCCCCTGGACCTGGGGACACATTTCTCCCTTTGCTCTGCACAGAGTTATGTTCTACGCTAACTGGAGTGGTTCAGGATGTGTCACTCCCTTTGGGAGGAAGCACACAGAGGTGTATGTCACATGCAGTTTCTACCCCCCTCCCAGAGCGCACACACGTGTCCGTGTCACTGGCTGCCCAGAGCTCACGCCAGTGTCACTCAGAAGTGGGATGCAATGGCTGGGAGAGCTCCTGCACAGAGATGGTCTGTGGTGACAGGGAGGTGACTAGAGTAACGCAGGGCCCAAGAAGCCGCTCCAGGACCCTCCCTGAGCCCAGGTGCTTCTCCGCTGTGCAGGGAGTGGGCAGCTCCCGCCCTCTCTATGCAGCAGAGCAGCCCCGGCAGCATCTCCACTGTCATAAATAGAGAATAAAGTCATTGTGGGCTGCTCTCTCTTTGCATGCTGACACCAGTGGTCAGGGACAGTGAGGAGCTAGAGGCCAGCACCAGGCTGGGGCTCAGGCGGATCTCCGTATCCCAGCAGGCTTTGAAGGGGGGTTTTCTGTATTCTTCTGTTACGCCCACTGCGGAGCCCTGTTTACCCCTCTGGTTCCGCGGCGTCCACGGTGGTCCTCACTACTGCAGGCCAAGTTGTCCAGGAGCGCATGCCCGGGCTCAGGGAGAGCAGCAGCTGGTGTTCCTTGGCATCCTCCCATCACAGACTATGCCTGTCCACTCTCCTGCAGTGCTGGTGGCTTTTGGCATTCAAAATTGTGGCTGTCAGAGAAGGTCTCAGATCCTTTGACCTGCCACCAGCCCCAGAGGGTTCTCAAACTCCCCATATTCAGAGCACCCTCRGGTAGCCACCAGTACTACCTGTCAGTCCAAGGTCAGTGGCCCCCGTGGGGGCTGAGGACGCACGCCAAGTCCTGGGAGAAATGTGGAAATGCTGAGTGTTCTCCTGAAGCTTAGATCGGGAGACCACAGCGGGGTGGGCAGGAGGAAAACACGGAAGGCTGGACAGAAACCTGTAAGGACACTCACAGCCCGGGGCAGTGGGGCGGGTGGCTGAGAGACCAGGAGGACGCCCAGAGAGGGGACAGGAGATGCAGGGTTTATTGAAAAATGTT